ACCGTATCTGAAGCCACGTTATTGCAAAAACTCCCTATTATCTGTATTTTGCTACCCGTATTCATAGTCAGCCTGAGTCAGACCTTATACAGGTATATATCTATATTTAAGGCTTCCATAAATTTATCTTCAGATGCTTCACGAATTATTTTATTGGCTGCGGAGCATCTAAAGATGAACTTAAGGAAGTCTTAAGTTTAGATGCTTAAATATAAGGCCTGATTATGGGTACCCCTGATATCTTGATTCAGCAAATAAAGTAACTTTGCCACTGTTATAAAATTCTTTACTATTCTCTTAAAGTGAATCTCACTGTAAAGAGTGAAATCTCATTCTTAAAAATTGAAAATTGAGCCACCTTTTTTTAGACTCGCTCAATTTTTACTCTGAGTGAGATTTCACTTCCAAAAATGTAAAGAGTATGATTGGTCTCATTCTTAGTTCCTCACTAGATTTAAATGTATATAAGCTAATTATATTAAAGAATTTTATACAGTTGCAAAGTTGCTTCCTCTGCTGAATACAGCCATTGTACAATTTAAGGCGCTATATATAAAATTAGGTAGGCGTGGCAAATATATACAGTTAGAGTAAACTTGCATAAACCTATTTCAATTCCAAAAAAGATGTAATTGTCAATTATTTGAAAATCATACCATGAAATATTCTTTGTAAGTTATTTTCAAATAATTTACATGGTGAATTTTTTACTTGTGTAGAATTCGCTTTCCAAGTGGCAATAAATAAATATATTATATGTATAATATATTTATTTTTGAATAAATGTACAATAAATATACATATATCTCATTAATTTTTCATGTAATCATTTTTTACATACATCCCATAGAAATAAAATTATTATTAATATTTTAGATAACTATAATATTGCTGGTATCACAATTTAATATCAGAATTACATTTCTCGAGATTTAATTGTTCTTAGATCTCTTCTGACTCATCAAATTAATCTTAATTTGACGTCAAGTACAACGTCAGATCCTAAAACTTCTCAAACGATGACTGTATACTTAAAGATGTGACACGCGCGATTGTGTAGGTTTTTTCGCGACGCATTCGATTTCACGTTAACCATGCTACACCACTGTCGACATGCATGACGCATTTAGTCCGAGCATTCGGCACTGATATATCTACATATTAAAGCATCATTCCACGTGGCTCGCATGTGTTGGATAAAAGTTTTTATCACAATTTTAAATCTTAGGTTGCAACTCTGTGAAACGAAATTTTCTTATGTATGTATGCACATACAATTGTTTGATAAAAATTTTAATTGATAATATCCAATGCTATAAAAAAATGGTCACAATATTAATGTTATTTTGAAAGAGAGACAGAGAGAGAGAGAGAGAGAGAGAGAGAGGAAGAAAGAAATCTAATCAAAGTCATACATGTACATATGCATGTATATTTGCATTGATTTTTATGAAATATGTTAAACTTTGATTGAACTCCTGATGACTTCGTATAATTTATTATGCTATATAAAATCGATTATCTATATACAGGCGCATGAAAAAGACGAGATAACAGTTCCATAAATCATGTATCAGTAATGGTTAAAAAATTTGTAGATAACTACAGCATATGTGATATGTCCGAACGTTTTACTTCATTCATATTATAACGGCACAAGAACGTTACATAGAAGAAATAAAAGTCACGTTTTTGTTTGAGCAATCATCATAAATGTAAAATTGTCAGAGATATAAAAATTCATACATTATATATATTTAGCAAGTGTAGCATATTTCACTAAATACAGTTTTCTTAATATATACATAATGTCTATTTTCTTTATAAATATATATATAATTTTTTTTTTGCGTTGATGTTAATAACAAAGTACATCGTACTGCATTCTAATAAATTAGAATAATAGTCTTTATAACTCTTGAACCATGAAGTTTCGCAGATTTTGCTATTTTAATGTAAACAATGTACCTCAAAAATCATATAAAAAAAGGCTCCCTCAAACAGTAAATTTCACATCTTGAACACATTCTGTATGACTCAGTAATACTCAGCATCAACGTATGTTACAAATTGAGAACATGTGTCGTGGATATTCAGGCTGACTCATCTGGAAAACACTATTTTCTGAAACATTTGTACAAATACCGCAATCATTTATATTACCTCGTCCCATCGTTCCTAGTCCATTAATTATCATAGAAACCACTAAACACAAGTTCGATGGCTGCTTGCACGTCACCATTGGTAAACTGTAACGCCTGAATGTTTATCGTGTCGTCTTGAAGACCCATCTCGTGCATCTGTCCCAACTGCCGCTGCAGATCATTAATCGGTGGTGAGAATAGCGGTAATACCGGCGACAAGGAGGTCGCCGGCGACGCGGCTGGCTGCTGCGGATTTGAATTGGTCGCCAATGCGGCTTGTCTCATGGCTTCCATGAACATCTGTGGCGTGATCACGCCGGTGCTTTGATTGTCAGTTGCGGGTGGATTGGCACCGTCGGATGTAGAGGACGGCAGATTATCCAGTCGCTGCGATGCCTGCGAATTCGTAGCTGGCGACACATTAGGGAAACGAAGATTACTGTCGTTTATAGGCTGCGTGGCAAAAAAGTGGGCAATATCGCGTGCCATTTCTTCCTCGAGGGTCATGCTATCTACGCTATAGGAACGTGCGGTAGTAGGCTGTGAACTGGTCACTGAACTGCTGGAGGAGCCGCTGGAGGCTGCGTTGTGCGCTTCCTCGTGCACGGCCGCTGCAATGTTCTGCGCTGCCTCGATTAACACTGGATGCAGCTGTGCTATTCTAAATATGAGACAATAAAAAAAGCTTTAAATCCATATTCATACTAAAAATGTATTGTTTTGAAAAATATGCTATTTGCGTAATATTTCTGAAGTAATATAAATTTAGGAGATCATACATCTAATTACCTTCTGACAGTGTCAACATCTATGAAATGCGCCATTAATTCTGGATCCTGCAACATGGCAATGGCGACTGCATCCTCATGCAATCCAGGAGAGGATGAAATAATATTATCTATCACCTCTGGTCTTTTGCTTAAACGCTGAAATATATCACAATGTTTATATAGCCAGCAAACAAACTGACGTTATTTATCGTCATTTTGATATCAAAATGATGTTTTGGGTGTCAAAATGGCATCAAAATGATGATAAATAACGTCAGCTTGTTTGCTGGATAGATGTTCTCCAATGATACTTGATAATTATAATTAAAGGTATATATTACGTGTTATGTAGGATATAAAAGTATATATATATATATATGTCATAGAGCATAAACATTATGTAAACAATATTTACATGCAAAGCACTTCTAAATGCAGGGGTCTCATTGAAAGATTTAAATGCCGATGCCAGTTGTAATATGCAATCTTCTGATACATGTTTATTCAATATTGACGACTCTGGCTCTTTCTTCTGTAGCGCATGCACCATTGATCCATTCTTCAATCCGACAGACTCCACTGTTGCATCATCCTCAAGTATAAGCCCACAATAAATAAATTCTAAAGAAAACGAGAGATAATCATTAGTATTGTGTTTATACTAAAGTTGAATTTATTCTACAAGGAATTATTTCAAAAAGCTTTAACTGTAATTAATTTTTTTTTTTTTTAATTAGAATTGAAGTTTCCTCAAGAAAGATAAAAAATAAGGCTACTCCACTAAAAATTGAAAACAAGACTAACTTATTAAGGATTGAAAATAAAGCTAATCTGATGAGGATTTTTGATAGTCTTAATGTCTTGATGTATATATCAAATATATAAAAAATCAAAGAACATCTGATGTTAAATTTTATAGGATCGAATAACAAAAGAGTACAAAGATACTGGCGACAAAGACCAATCTCCAAATAGTGTAAAGTCACTTTTACCAAAGGAATCCTTGGGCAGATTCCACCTTTCCGCGGCTTCTTGCTTCAGGGCCGCCACTTTCGTCTTCAGGTTCACGCCGCTCAACGTAATCGGCATGACCATCTCAGAATTTATCTGTACTCCGAACAACAGCTCCATGGCTATCATAATTAAACGAATCAACTGGAATCCGAGGATCAACTCGACTCTCAGTACGGTCTCTTCCGCATTTAACCTTCAACTTCTCGGCTTCTTCTCGACTCCCAGAGCCCGTGAATCTCTACGAAAACTCTCTCTCTTTTGTCCGTTTCATACATCGAAATTGATTGAAATCCAGAATAACTTGCAACTAGACACACAAAGGTTGTTGACAAAAGGTTGCCTGAAATCTAAGGTTACCGATGCAGCACCAACACCAAGAACAATCTGAACAATGCAGTGATGCTGAAAAATTGAAGAGATTGCCTTTTCATGCTCGATATTTAAGGTCTGTTCTTTTTCGAAGAATTATAAACAAACACACTATACCTGTCTCACTTTAACCAGTTCAGAATTTGGGATGGAAAAAGAACAGACCTTTAATTTTTTTTAGCGATAAAAAATAATATAAATGATCACCGAAGGTTTGTCGCGTCGCAAGCTCCAACATGTTCCAATATGCTTCACTATAGCTCCTTCTCACTCTACCAAGCATGTTGAAGTGAGTAGGAGCTATGGTAGGAGCATGTTGGAGCTTGCGACGTGAACAAACCTAGAATCTCAAAAAAGTAATACGACCAATCAGAATCATTTCAGTTTACCGCAACAGTCAGCATCTAGTCAGCATCAGCACTCTACGTGCTATCAGTTTTAAGGCATATTTTCATGTTTTCATGAGTTACTTTCTTTTAGATCATCCAATAGCAACGAGAGCTCATTGATCCGCTCCGCAACAGTTGAGTCTGCTGAACGCGACCATTGGCCCTAAGGGGATCGATTCTGTATCTTGAAATGAGGTGAAAATTACAAAAGTGAGCAAATTTACTAGAATACTAATAATTTCATTGGTCAACACCTAGCAAATTTGCTCATTTTCACCTTGTTTCTCATAATGTCAAAATGTTTTCTTACACTCTCATAATTTTAATTTAGGGCCAATTTCTTTGGACATATATTTAATCTTAGGTAGACAAAAATTAACCTCTACTATAACTGAAAACATGTAATTAGAGAAATAATTTATGATCATTGAACAGCATATATTGTTGCAAAAATTGCTACTATGAAAACCGTGTTGAGATATGATAACCGTCGCTGTACAAGCGAAAATGTAAAAATTATACAATGCCAAAAAGAAGGCAAACACAGTGATTTCAAATGTCGCTAATAACCATTCGTTTCCATGAAACACAGCTTTGTTGAAGGAATAATTATCTGCAAAAATAAAATTATATTCATTAAAATGACAATATCTGCATTAAATTTTATCATTAAAAATCTTTGTAATTTTCTAATACCAGTATAAAAAACAGATTTGTCTTTGGCATCTACAAAAAGAACGTCCCATAATTTTTCTAATATGTGCTGCTCTTTGATTATATAATCTTCATTTTCCAAACAATGATCCAGAAATTGCGTTAGAAAGAGCCTAATTTTTTACCTGGTTTCAGATGATTGTTTCCAATTTCTAGAAAGTGTGTCGCTTGCTTTTAAAATTTCCATGCTTCCCTGTGCAAAATGTATTACAAACTGTATAATAATTATTTTTAGATTGCATAGTAGTCTTACTTTAAAAAAGTATAATAATATTAAGGTTTTCTCTTTTGCAGGCATGAAAATAAATGAAGTGTTGTTAACAGTGGTGCTCTTCCACGAACAATCTCTTACATACATTATTCTTTTGCCTCATGAGTTCATCATATAACGATTTAAACGAGTAGGTCAACGATAATATAAAAGTCTGGTCGGTTGTGCCGGGTACCAGGCCTCTGTGCGCACATAAATCGTCTTCTTCTTTTCTTAAATCGTTTATCAAGGTACGAAGATCATTATCCGCAAATCTATGTACTGATCTATCAAAAGCAATGTTATTAATTATCTCTTTCATCTTGTAAGACACGCTTAAATTACCTTCCATGGATATAAAAGCCATAATAATTATGTGCCAATATGAACACACAGATGTTCGCGATCGAGCATAGATCTACGAACTTCTGCAGTCTGTTTCTAATGTATCTCTCGTAAAACGTAAAGCGAATCAACCATTGTGAGAGATATATAAATATGTACATGAAGGTGCAAATCGCGAATTGCAGCGTAAAATTGTCCTCCGTTTCGGATGATGTATTCGAGATAATCGATTCCGGTATCGCTAACATCCACGATTCCAAATCGAATACCTAAAACGATGTAATTATTCAAATTTTATTGTGTTGTGGATGAAATTAGATTGCTTTTTTTGTGTCAGCTGACCTGCAGGAAACACAGAGTGTAAATCGATTGCAATGCTACATTTATCCTTCTTCTGGTTTGCAATTTGCACCATTCGTTCGCGATGAAGTAGGTTCTCCAAACGCTGATTGGAAAATCATGTACATAACTGCGTTCGGTTGTCTCCTGCAAAGGCACGATCGAACAAATGGAAGAAAAATCCGGCGTGTATTTTTCAATCGAAGAAGACTTGGATATTTCATTGGGACTCGTGTTCTTGTTCGTCCTATGCAATCTTCTTCTTCGCTTGGACGCGATGATGTCCGATGTTATTCTCGAAGATTTACCCTTACCCTTTGGAAATCTGTTGGAATACAATTTCTGTAAAGAAGTACGCGGAGAGTCGTACTTCGGTTGATCGTGTATCGTCCTCTGTTGTTCCCAGTCGATGAAAAACACGCTCAAATCCCAGTGCTGATAGACGAACCCTATCATTTCTGCAATCTAAATGAAAGAAACAAAAATGTTGGATGCTAAATTTTATGGGTCCTGCCCTAGATAGTCGAGAGGTTCAAGTTTGAACCCTAGCTGAGATGTTTTTCTCAATAAATTCTTTACAGTATGCTATTAGTATTGTTAAATTAATGATCAATTTAACTTGTAAATTTCATTAAGTTTTATGTAGTAAATTGGAATCGTTGACATATTTCTGTTAATTAATTTTAGATAAAACGTCACGTTGCTTTACTTACTTTAAAATTAAAGGCTACGGTAATGTATGTTCGGATTTCTTCTTCATTATCTTCGTTAGAAGAACTATGTTGCAGTAAGGTGCAAACATTGTGATAAGACGTACAGATAGTCTCTAAGAATTGTATGGGTGTTACATTTATACCATAAACATAAATATTAATAAACAGAAAAAAAAATTAAGGTGGGAAAATGACAACCATTCGATATGGATACATTTCAATAAAACGGATTTATATTTCGCAAATCAGATTACGCATTGAAGATTGAGATTGAAGATTAAAGATTGAAA